TCAAAACATGTTAGTACTGGTATAGTGACAGATACATAGCCCAGTAGAGAACATTGAGAACACATAAATAAATCTAGTCACCTAAAAACAGCTGACTGTTGACAAAGAAATGACATCCATTAGAGATAGCCTATTTATCAAATGGTGCTCACAAAACTAGATAGCTATTTGAAGCATAGTACTTGTCTGTCAGTGTGTAAAATGTGTAAAAGTGTGTAAAAAGAATCATCAATGACAAGTCTCTCTGTAGAAAACTACAACAAATCAATAAGAAAGACAATTTAATTTTAAAAATGGGCAGAGAAAATAACAAGACACTTAACCAAAGAAGACATTTGAAGACAAAGAAGTTTGGTATTTTAATATCCTGTGCCCATTTTGTGATTGGTTAACTTTTATCTTGTTGTGGTGCTCAAGTATTCTATAAATTCTAGGTATAAGTCCCTTATCAGACATGTCATTACTGAATATTCCCCCCCACCCCCCCACCCCGAGTCTGTGGCTTCCCTTTTTACCCTGTTGGAGACGTTTTTTGATGTGCATAGGGATTTGATTCTTACAAGGTCCCATTCATCTACTTTATCTTCTCCTTATTGTAGGTAGAAGTTTGATATTTTCAGATATCCAAAAAAATCATGAAAACAATTTTAACTTGCCTTTTAGTAACAAATCTAATATTAATCTTAGTAGAAAGGAGATTGTAATAACAATTGGTTTCAGAATTGGTATATAAATTCTCCAAAATCCAATCAATGCTGGGCCTCCTGCTTAGTCTTGAGAGTAGATAGTGACAGCAGCTTGTTTTTGATTGCCTGTTCAGTGTCACAGATGAATCCTGCCCAGGTTATTCCCAAGAATTTTACTATGAAAGTGTAGTTACTGCAATGGATTTCAGACCCAGTAGAACAGGAAGCTTAGTGTTGGAATTAGTGGAAGTAGTAGGAGTATATAAGACTATGACCTTAAAGAAATTAGTTTTGTACTGTGAATGTTGTGATTAGGAACAATTCCCTTTTGTGGAGTTAGTAAAAGTCACACTTGGTGGTCCTTGTGCCCTGTGCTGCCTCTTAAAACAATAGCCAGTCCTATTTTTTAGTCTAACCTTTTGTTTTGTTTTCATGTTTTAATTCATTATAGGCTACCAACATTGATGTTGTTGCTCCTAGTCTCTCTTAATGGGGGAAGCTCTGCTTAAACCTGTCCACTGTAGGTGACCCTGCTGGGATTTGAAACCCTAATGGCACAAATTATAGCATCACAATAACCCACAGGTCACCTCTGTGTAACAGAATGACAGACAAGTACTGTACTGTGCAAGATCAAATTAAAGCTGAAGGAAAAAAAAAGTCCACAAGAACTAAAATATGGCAGTAAGTATAACCAGAATTTTTAAAAAGTAAGTGATAAACAGAAGATTCCCAAGAGAAGCCTGAGAAGACAAAGCAAGCTGGTATAACAAAATGTGCAAGGAGCTGGAGTAAGAAAATAAAGAGAGAAGAAATCGCTTGGCATTTCTCAAGCTGAAAAAAAAAATTTAAGCCTTAAGTTGCACTACTGAAGAATGGTATGGCCAAAATCTTGTATATGATTCAGGAAGCATCAAAAGAAAATGGAAAACATTGGCAATAGGTAAGGTCTCAGGAATTGATGGGTTACCAGTTGTCATGTTTCAACAAACACATGCAGGAGTGGATGTGAACAACGCAACAAGAAACGTGAGTGTATACATATCTGCTTGGATGGCGGTTCTGGTTTATTTACAGTATATTCCCAGTAGTGGAATTGCTGAGTCAAATGGTAGGTATTTCTATTTCCAACTTTTTGAGAAAGCACCATACTGCGTTCCATCGTGGTTGCATCATTTTACACTCCCACCAACAGTGAATAAGGGTTCCAGTTTCTCCACAACCTTTCTAACATTTATTGTTTGCTACTCTGTTGAATTTTTCTATTCTTATTGAGGTGAGATGTATCTCATAGTTTTTTTGTGGGAAAATTATGAAAAAATACAATAGTACATCAGTAGAGAACTGCCGGAAATTCAAGCTGGATTTAGGAGAGACCATGGCACCAGTGATATAATTCCTGATGTCAGATGTATCTTGCAGGAGCAAGGAGCACTAGAAGGATGTCTGTCTGTGTTTTATTGACTATGCAGAGGCATTTGATTGTGAATTATAAATTACAGCTAACGTTCTGAAGTCTAGGAATCTAATAACACTGAATTGTGCTGGTGCAAAACCTATACTGAGATCAAGAGGCTAGAGCAAGGGAACTCTACGTGGTTTAAAAATCAAGAAAGTGTATTTCAAGGTTTATCGTATCTCCATACCTGTCCAGTCTATATACTGAATAATAAGCTGGAATTTATGAAGAAGCATGCGACATCAGGAGTGGTAGAAGACTCATCAACAACCTGAATTGTATAGAAACACAACCTTGCTTGCTGAAAGGGAAGTGGACCTGAAGAATTTGCTACAGAAGAGCAAATATTGTAATAGGCTTAAATATGGATTACACAGCAACATCAAGAAAGCAAAATTCCTTACCACTGAGCCAATAAGCAATATCATGATAGATGGAGAAAGGATTGAAATTGTCAACAATTTTATCTTACTTGGATCCACAATACCATTGGTAATCACCAGTCAAGAAAGTAAAAGACCAGCTGCATGGGCAGAATCTTCTGTTGGGAAATGCTTTAGAGTCCTTAAGAGCGTGATTCAGTTTGAAGACTAAAGTGCACTTGATGCAAGCCATGGTCTTTTCAATTACTTGCCATTTATCTGAAAGTTGAACAGTGAATAAGGATCATAGTAGAATTGATCCCTTTGTGTTGTGGTTTTAGAGAACAGTATTTACTATCCCATGGACTGTCACCAAGAGGAACAAGTACATCTTAGAGAAAGTGCAACCAGGATGATCCTTAGAGGCAATGAGGGTGAAACTGTTTCTTACCAACTTTGGGCATGTTGCAAAGAGAGGTCAGTCCTTGGAAAAAGACATCATGCCGGATAAGGTGGAGGATCATCAGAAGTGAGGAGGACCCTCAACCTGACACAGTGACTATAGCAGTAGGCTGAAGTATAATGGCGACGATAAGGATGACACAGGACAGGGCAGGGTACCTTTTTTCTGTTTGTAGGGTCGTTATGGTGAGTCGATGGCACCGGACAACATCAACAAATAGGGGAACTCTGGTGGCGTGATCTGTAGGGAGTTGCACTGCCCTGGTGGCTCAAATCTTCCTGTCTGATTAATAGCCTTAGCAACCTGCTGGAGGGTTAATTCACAACCTAGCTGTGAGTTCATTATATAATGAATCAGCAGTGAGTTCATTATAGATAACTAGATCATGTCAAGGATGTGTCCTGTTTCCATACCTTTTCAATCTGTATGTGGAAAAATCATTTGGGAGGCTGGGCTTTATGAGGAGGAATGTGGCATCATGACTGGAGGAAGACTCATCAACAACCTGCGATATGCAGATGACACAATTTTGCTTGCGGGAGAAATTGAAAACATGAAGCATTTGCTGCAGAAGGTCAAGGACTGTAGTCTTCAATATGGATTGAAGCTCAAGATCAAGACCTGTCAACAGCTTGCATTATGCAGATGACACACATTACTTGCTGAAACTGAGGAGGGCCTGAAACATTTGCTGCAGAGGGTCAGGGACTGCAGTTTGCATTGTTTGAAGTTCAGCATCAAGGAAACAAAGATTCTCACCACTAGGCCAATTGGCAGCACCATGATAGATGGAAAAGAGATTGAGGTTATTAATAGTATCAGCTTCTTTGGCTCCACAGTCAATACTCTATTAACCCATAGTCAGGAAATGAAAAGATGAATTGGGGAACTCTGCTGTCAGAGACCTTTCCAAAGTGCTAAAGAGTAATGATGTCACTCTAGGGAGTAAGGTGCACCTGATCTAGGCTATGATGTTTGCAGATAAGAGAGCTGGACAATGAGTAAAGATGACAGAAGAATAATTGATGCCTTTCAGTTGTGGTACTGGAGAAGAGTATTGAACATACCGTGGACTGCCAAAGAGAATGAACAAGTCCATACTGGAGAGGGTGAAACCAAGTTTTGTTGGGCATGTGGCCAAAAGGGACCAGTATTTGGAGAAGGACATTATACTTGGAAGGGTGGAGGGACAGTGCTGGAAAGGAAGACCCTGGATCAAATGGATTGACACAGTAACTGGAGTAATGGTAGTATATGTGTCAGAGACAGTGAGATTGGCTCAGATAAAGCAGAGTTCAGAGTTATTGTACGTACTGTTGCAAAGAGTCATAGGCGATGTGATGGCACATAACAACAACTACCCTAATCCACAGTGTCTCTTAGGAAAAATTGCTGGGACACCTATTTTGGTGTTCTCTGTTCCATTAGTCAGTTTGTGCAGTACAGTATTGTTATAACCCTATCTTAATTTTTATAACTTTAGAAGTCCTTTTGCTGTTAGGATGAATGAGTGTTTTGCCACCTTCTTAATGTATCAGCTATATTCTATATCTTTCTGTAGTACAAATTATAATTATTATGCACAGAATTCAGTATGTTCTAATTATTTAAAACACTTCCCATTGCTGACAGAATTTGGAGTATTATAGGTATGTGTCTTTTAAGAAGCTCTGCAGTGTAATACATTATGTGCTGTACCTGAAGGAGGGGTCCGTGATTTGAATCCATCAGCTATTCCATTTGAATCTACGAGCTACTCCATGAAGGGAGCTCTGGTGGCCTAGGGATTTATTCCATCAACTCAGTCATATGATTCAGATCCACTAGCTTCTCCAGAGGAGAGAGATGGGCAATCTCCTGCCGTGCAATTTTAGAGCCTCTGAAAATCCATTGGAGATCAGCTATCAGGTGCACTTGATGCAATTAAAAGAGCGAAGCCACTCCAGGGAATAGTAACAGATATTGTCTCATAAACACCCTGGAGGTTACCATGCCATTTGTTAACTCACCGGTCACTTATTTCTTTCTAGGAACTGTTGTCATCAAAAGTAATAATGGTCAGTTGATGTTGGTGTCTCCTCAGCAAGCTGTAACAAGACCTGGAGTTATTAATAACGTAACTTCAAGGCCAGCAACGCCTGTAAATATGCAAACAATCAAAACCTCTACGGTGCCGGTAATGAACCTTGCTTGTTTTTCACTTTCATTACTTTACCCAACTATTCTCTTCATATCAATATGTACCTGTTTGCTAATAAAAAATATTGAGATGTTTCTCAGTTTTCTGAAGTGGCTTTTTTGAAGGCAGATTTAATAAAAATTAGGTTTTTTTAATGTGGTATTCTAGTAAGAAAATTTAGTCTTCATACTTAAAGATTTTATAGGTCTCAGGGGAAGATTTAAAGAACTAATTGCATCTTTAGCAAGAAAATAGACATTCAATTTCAGTTTTATTTTATTTAAAGGAATTATCTTTAAGAAATAAGAAATCTACATTGGGTTGGTAGTGTTAAAGAACTACTTCTTTTATATGCAGTGTTCTTCCTAGGCAACTGTACTTTATTGCACGTGGCAGAGTAAATTTCTTTTTTTAATGTGCACCTTTCTTTGTCTATTATGTGAGAAAATGCTGCATGTAATTTGATATTTTCTTGATGACTCAGGCATGTCTTCATGAAAGACTTTATACTGTATTCTGTGGTAATACAGCTCTATGTCCTTTCCCACCATGCCCCCATTTTTTGTTCTCCTAACTTGATTCTAGATTCTCACCTCATCATTTCCTCTATTATATCTATATATCACTAATAGTTGCTCTTTCTTTTCTAATCTTCTGTAGACCCAAAAAAAGGTTATCAAATAGAATGGGCGAATGTGTAAAAGTCATGATTTTAATTCTGAGTCTTATGAAACTTACTTAGTTTGAGCTCTTAAGTAAATGAGGTGCTTATTGGATTATCTTTTCCTGGTTACAAATGTTTAATGAATTTAACTTTACCTTTGACTAAAAACCCATATAATAGAGGAAGTCATATGCACTGCTTTATTATAGTAAAACATTTTAAAGTTAGCCATAGCACTGACTGATTTTAAGTCACTGATGTTGCTGACTGGGTTTGTGGGATTTCCTCCCCTCTCTTTCTCAAGAATTCAAGCTCACAATTAGTGAAGAAGGTGACAGTGGTACCTGTTAACAAAATGGCACAAGTTGGAACCACTGTGGTGACTACAATTACAAAGCCTTCCTTAGTACAAGTAAGTTGTGACTTGAGGTCATTTATGCACTGATATTTTAAGTTTAGTTATTTTAAAAAGAAATTTCCGCCTGGTGTGTAAGTTATTAAGTATAGCCTATTATTGTTGTTGTGTGTTGTCAGGTCAGAGCTGACTCAGTACTGACCCTCCAGCAGATTTTCAAAAATTATAAATCACATAGGAAGAGATAACTCATCTTTCTATACCTCTTTGGTTTTTGGCAGTCCATGGGCTATTCAGTACTTGTCTCTAATAACACCACAACTCAAAAGCACCAGTTCTTCTGTCATCCTTATTTATTGTCCAGCTGTCAGATGCATAGCAGTTGACTGAAAAGACTATGGCCTAAGTCAGCAAAAATATTATTTTACATATAGGTTGTTGTTTGTTGTTTTTTTTTTTTTTTTACTCTAATGGTCGCTACTATTTATCAAGCATTTCATGTCCTTGACACTTTTTAAGGTGCTTTACATATCACTTTATTGGACTTTCTAAGACGGTATTATCTCTGATTTATACACACACACACACACACACACACAGACACACACGAAACAGATTTAATACTACCTTAGCAAGTAGTTACACACCTACACACACACACATACACAAATGCATGAAAATAACCTTACATGCCTAGCTGTTCATTAGATGTGACTGGCAACCCCACATATTATGGAGAAGAATGACTCCATAGAGTTTTCTGAGCTGTACTCATCCCAGAAGCAGTTTGTTATGTCTTTGGGCTAGTAGATTAATTGTTAAAAATACTGATGATCTTAAAAAAACTAAAATAAAATACTGATGATCTTAAAGTGTAGCTTTGTTTTCTTAGAATAAATCCTAAGAAGATAAATTGGCCCAGAAGGCATAAATTTAGGGCTATTGGTCTTGGCTATCATGTTTTATTGAGCAATCCCTGTACTCACTTTGGAACAGAATGGAAGTGCTTTGAGATCAGGTTTTTTGTTTGCTTGTTTTTCTAATATCTATAAATTTGGATGCATTTCTTAAAGTGTGTTGTTAAAATGGACTTTTGAAAATGGCTTTTCCGTCCTTTGCCTTAGTTCTCCTCTGGTCTCTAGCTACCTCAATGGTGAACACCTGGTTCACAATTGATCAGCATCTTTAGCATCATTCATCAACAGCTGCGAGGGCAACCAAAGCTAGAGAGCTAAAGAGACTGCAGAGAGATGTTGACTCACGTAGCCAGAGTTCTGCTTGCTGGACAGTTGAAGGAAGAGCTGACTTGTGACTGCTATGAGACTAAGCTTGCTAGATGACAGAGGAAATGAGAGGCTACTGCATTTGTGTTGCTGGACTGAATCCTAATATTCTCATGTTGACTGCTAAGATGTCTGAGCTCATGGAGGAATATGTTTTGTTTATCTGGCTTTGAACTGCTGTACAACATGCGGACTTCTGCTGTGGGATATCCTTTGCCTGTCCCTCCCCTCAACCACTTTCCTTAAATAAATCTCACAACTGTGAGCAAAGTATTGTCTGTGAGTCATTGGCAAAGAATTTTGGACTTAGTAATTAGTAGATAATTAGATAGGTGCAGGAGTGTGTGTGTGTGTGAGGGGCATGTATGACCTTATAGAGATCGGTTTTATCCTGCTGATGTTGATGAGGACAGTTTTCCTTTGTGGAGTTAATAGTTGTAGGAGTTTGTTTTCAGAGGCTGTAAATTTCACAGGAGGAGATTGCCCCTCTTCCTCTCATGCAACATCTGGTGGCTTCGAACTGCTTGCCTTTCGGTTGGCAGTATAACTTCCTACACACTAAGCCATGAGAGCTCCCTGAAAAGTGAAAGAGGTATGAGGTCCAGATTTTTCTTTGCAGCCAGAATGAAATATTGGCAAGGGAAGTAGGATGCTTGCCCAAGTTCACATTTCCTGGTGTTGTCTTTGACCTCATAAGGGAGAGAGATATCAGTCCCTAGGAACATTTTCCCTCCCTAGGAACATTTTCCTTCAACTCCCACAATGGTTGTGCTCACCAGCTAAAGTTCCAGAATATGTTCTCTTGAAATAGTAGTACAGAGAGTAATAAAAGTTGATTAGAATATAGATGATGTGTGGGTAAAAAAAGGAGTCCTTATTAAGTTTATGGAAAAGTTTTCAGAGGAGTTTACTGCTGAGCAATTCTCTAGAGATTAGAGGACAGGCCAAGGAGATAGATTTCATTTTTAACGACGCTTTATCTATATTTTGTAAAATTGTGCTGATTTGGGTATAATTTCAAACTTGGCCTTTCTCGCTTAGCATTTCTTCATCATTAATCACTGTTTTTGTTTTCTACCTATTTTTTACCCTCAAAGTGTTCTTGACTGTATACAGCCTCCAGCCTTTCTTAAGTGGGAATTTTTTATGGACATTCAAATCTACATAGCATAAACTGACTATTTAGAAAAGAAAAATCCCTTGAAGGTTATGTAACAACCTGATCTTTCTTGTGTATGTCTGTAGAACATGTGTGTTTAAATTAAATTGAATTTTTATGTGAATTATAAGTACCATAACTCTTCCCTCTTATTCAACTTTTTCATACCCTATATATATTTTGTGTGCGAGTACCGTCAAATCAGATCTGACTGGTACAGGAGGAGATTGCCCCTCCTTCCCCGGCAGAGGATCTGGTGGATTCGAACCGTACACCTCTGGGATTGTAGTTGCAACTTCTTGCCACTAACATTTTATAAGAGACACAAACGCAGGTTATACACATGGACTTCACCTGATGGTATGCACAGGAATCAGATCGACTACATCTGTGGAAGGAACC